CTTAGGTTAGAGTTTGTACATATTTCTCTTCTATTACCCTTTTTCAGGTGGTACTGATGCTTAATTGGAGTTATCTGACTTATCAGGGCCTTGAGGATTGGATGGAGTGCAGAGGAGGGACTATGCAGAGGGCTTGCTAGGTGTTGGAGTAGGGAGAAGAGCAGAGGAGCAGAGATCAGTCATTAGTCATCAGGATTTACCGATGATAAGCACCTGGAATGGCAGAAGGATGGAGTCTCAATAAACCTATTTGAAGTTCGTAACTTGGGTCGAGAATCAGGAGGTCAGTGCCCATAAACCAGTGCACAGGTATCCCAGGTTATCCCCTTGTTGCGATTAAGCATTAAGACTCTCCGACGATTGGACCAGGCGCATCAAACCGGTTGAAGAATAAGTTTAAGAAATCGATATCCCATGATATCGATACTAACCAATGAGGAAGATCGATATACTGCGTCTATCAAAGGGCTGGGGCCGCGACACGAGCCGGAGAACACGCCTGATAGGCACCGGAAATCGGTCACTTACATGATATGGGGTGATCGGTATCTTATGCATTTTGTTGACTTTTTTGGGTCGACCGTTGACTTGATATGGGCGATCCACTTTCGTCTGGGGTCGATCCGGGTACTGTTTTAAATGGATATAACTATGTTCTTAACCCCGAAGAAAATCTTAGTCTGATTTTTCTTTCATTTTTACGCTTTCAAGCTTTCCTTTTACGTTGTAGTTTGAATCGATCCTTAGAACATTAATACTTTGATGTTCTAAGTTTTTATCTTTATAAAGTTTCCATCTTTAGCTTTAAATTTTAGTCTTTGGTGCTTGATTCGCCTCTATTTTGCATTTTATCGCACATACTTCACTCGAACTCAATCATGGTTTTTCTCGTAGCTATGAGTGAGTAGTCCGCTTGTCAAGTGTCGGATTAGTAGATGTAGAAGCCTTAGAGGAACGGCTAACTCAGCTTCGGCCTGAATATTACGTTTCTCGATGTTAGGTTGAGGTTAAAGCTTGATTCTTGGCTTCGGATTTGAATCTCGCCTTGAGGCATTCCGCTGCCTGAAAGGTGTTTGTCGGAATGTCGGATTAACCTTTTGCTTAGCTTAGTGATCCTTTGGCCATAAAAGTGTGTTAAAGAGCTAAGTGAGCTTATAGGGACTTGATCTTTAAGTTTGGAGAGTACTTATATCTAGCAGCGAAGGTTCGTTAGATGTTTGTACTCAACAAAGTGGTTAGTAGCGTCATGAAAGTGGGATGATCTATATTCGTGTTCCATGCTTAACAGTTGAGCTTTAAAGTGAAAAGCCCTAGCTTTGTTAGCCGCAATCTATTGATTCGCATCAGGTGCTAATCACATATTTGATGCTTTCCAGTATCATTGCATTCGCCATTTAGTCTCTGTTTTGTTCATTTCCTGTATGGATACATTTAGTTTAGTTTTGATCAACTCAACCCAACTGTTATTGATGCTTTAGCTTAACTGAAATCCTCCATGGTCTAGTACTCTAAGTCCTTGTCTTCCTTGTGTTCGATCCCTATGCTTGCTATAATTGAATCATGAGTTAGGTTGTTAGCTTGATAGGTTTTATTTGAAAGAACGAAAAATCCTTCTCATCATATTGCCACCGCTACTGGGGAAGTTAGCGCATTTAGATATTGGATTTGAGTGTTTGTTGAGACTAAAACTTTCGTTTTTATTTACTTTTTGTTTTGTATTTTTGCTCTGCTTCTGCATCTATGTTTGTTGTTCTCCTTTCTGTGTTTGTTCTGCAGTGTATGAAAAGAAGGAGGCAAGAAGGAGGATTTCTTAACTTAGTTCCAGATATTGGAAGGATTGAAAGACAGAACAAAGCACAAGCTCAGGCTAGAAAGCTGCAGGAAGTAGAGACTATGGAGCATCCTCAAGTTGTTCCACCAGTTGTGAACCGGAACAACCCCAACCCTGTTCTGTAGAGAGAACAAGTTCAGGCTGCAGGGCAACAACCCAGAGCACCACCACTAGCTCAAGGAGCTGCTCAGGCAGAATTGAGG